CGCCCTCCACTCATTTTTTTTGTGCAAAATCAATTTTATTCGTAGTATATGACCAACACAAACGTTTATAATATAGTTATAAATATAAACACATTGTAGTTTATAGAAATTGTCAGAATAGGTGGCAGAGGCACTTTATGGATCAGTCAGAGAGCAAACAAAAGTTCATACTGTCATACAAGTAATTAAAAACAAGAAATGGAGATTAGCAGGGCACCTCGGCAGAACGTGATCCTAGGGAGTTTTCTTTATGTTTTCCTTTTATCAATTTTTTGTAATGTGTTTTCTTTGTGTTTTTGAATAACAGTGATTTTAATTAATATTAAAAAAAACATCATTCATTTTGCTTAGGCATCTGGTGGTGCGCACCGCAACGCTTCACTACGAGCGTGTTATATTGCGCGCTGCGCGCTAAATTCTTCCTTTTGTATTCTAAATTTTCCATAGTTAGAAAAAGAAAAACAATAAATAACACAATACTGTAGAAAATTTATCTGGAGATACGCCTATAAATTATTATGTAGGCCTACATTAATAGGCCTAGCCTAGGATCCTTGTTAAGTAATCCGAAATCAAGTTCAATCATGATTGCTCCAGCAATAATTCTTATGGAACTATCCAACGAGAAGTTCAGTCCACGGAAAGACGTCAGGTAGGCCTAGTCCTAGACCTCCGATGTTCATGTATTACTATTAACCATTAAAATGTTTATATTTAATGGTTAAAACTAACCAGAATTAAGTTTAGGTCTAGGCACTGGGTCCCAGGCTAGACATATTTAGGCTAGGCTAGGCCTAGAGTAAGTGTTCTAGTTTTCGACAAACCACCAATAAAACAAGTAATTACTAATACTATTACATTAGGCCTATTTATCATCACCATATCTATTCATATTCCATCATCATGTTTTCTGCTCTGGCAGGTTCATTCATCATTAATATACTATATACATCATCATCATTATTATTATTCACCATCATCGACATCATCTTCATCATCATATTTCCCCATTACATTGTTTATTATTTCACTAGCATCCAACAGCGATTTAACTCGTCAATTGAATGATGCTTTTATTGAAACGTCTATTTACGAGGCTTAGAGAGTGGAGTTGCTTTTTTATAGTCGTGAAAAAAGTCCTGCTATCTCAGGAACTGCCCCAGGAAATGGGATTAAGAGCAAACATCTTAAACACTAATCTAACTCACTCACTCTATATTCATCATCATCATCATCATCATCATCTTCATCATCACCATCATTATAATCACCATCATTATATTAATCATCATATTATTATTTTACATAGACCTAATATTCATCATCAATTAGCCTACCGTAATTGCCATCACAATTTAATCCTCACCCATCATCTAATTATAATTTAATCCTCACAATCATCATCATCTTCTAATCATCATCATCTAATCATCCTCATTATAATTTAATACTCAGAGTCATCATCGACATCATTGACATTATAATTATTATTTCAGTATCAGTTTTCAGTTGTTTTTTTTTTCTGAAAGATAATAAATAATAAATTATTGTACAGTAGCAGACCTTGCAAGCCTTTAGTTTATAAGTTTCCCCTACACCAGAAGAAAAATGAGAAAATTATAATTAATTTAATTAAATTAAACTAAATTTGCCATTATTATCTCAACAGAGGCGTAACTAAACAGGCGTGCAGAAGAGGGTACGTGCCCGGGGAGCCGAACTGAGAGGTTGCGCTAAAATGAGCCTGAAATATTTATTAATTAACAACCAAACAATCTAAGAATAAAGAACCTATGTTCTGAGCTGGAATGGGGCGGTAGTTCCATTCTCTTGTCCCCGGCCCAGTGCTCAAAGTAACGAAGCCTAGTTTCCTTAAAATTGCTACACTGTCGCTACAGTGTTTTCAATGCAAATATCGTTATCTGCGTAACAGTTCCCGACGCAATCGGGAAAGTTCCTTGATTTCGACCGACCAATCAGCATCAAGCCTGGTTTCCTTAATATCGCTGTGTGAAACTGTTGTACTGCGTGCGTAGAGCAGTCCCGGATCCCCCACGCAATCGGGAAAGCTCCACAATTCGACCAACCATGGTAATCAACATCTCCGAAAGCTCACAGTGATCGGGTGTAGCGATTGTACGGAAACTCCCATTATCATTGATAATTATTAAATTACTAGGCCTATATATATTATCATTTCAGTGGTAGCTTTGCAAAAAAACTTGAAGAAATGACTTTCGAAGACAAAAAGGATGAATTATGTAACAAACCGGAGAAGAAAAGGGAACGCCGAAAATCAGCGGGCGAACCATCCACAACAGAAAAAGAGGCATTTGCAATTAAACAAAAACAAAGTGGATTAGAAACGGAAAGGAAACTGTTGCTAAATCAACTTAAAGAAATTGAAGCAGATAGAGAGAAGAACAAAAAACTGCTTTTGAGTCTTCAAGCGAAAAACGCAGATTTGGTCTGCGAAAATGACATTCTTTGCGATCGAGTAGCCGACCTGATGATCCAGAATAAAAACTTGCATAATTTACAAAAAGAAAATACAGAATTGCGTCGTGAAAACCAAGAACTGTCTGCTAGGGTGACATCATTGAAACGATTAAGCCGATGCATTGATAGAGCTAATGATAAATACCGGGGCGATATTACTGAACTCAGGCAAAGGCCTTCCATAGCTGATTATCAAGCAGTTAACAGCACAGTGAGGACATTACGTCTAGTTGTCTTTATCCTGTTAATTAGTTTCTTTAGTATGATTGCTCATGTAACCGGCATGTTTAATTGGGAGTTTCAGCAAGATGGAATCGATAGCAATTTTCTTTGGTCCTTCATGTCATCTTCTTTCGAAAATTGCTAAAGAAAAAATTCATTAACTGAATATTATAAGGTTTAAAGAAGCATTGGGAGGTAATTAAAATAAAGCCACTTGGTATATGAAGGGAAAATAAAAAGATAATTAATGATTAGAGTTATGGTGTATTAATTATTTATTAACTATTAAAAAACATGGCTTTGAAAATCGGCAGTGATAATTCGCAATTTACGCATTGTAGTGTCCACTTGTTCTTGAAAAAAATTGCCTGAGCGATATTATTCTAACACAAATTTTGACGGTTATTATCCAATTAGGTGTATGATTTCTTCTGTTTCACTGCAGTGAAAACGGTGAAACCTCCTTAAATTAAAGTAAACTGACGTCGCTCTTGCGCTAGACTCTGATCAGCAATAAAAAACGCATGTGAGCAGGGGTGGTGGAGCCTGGGTGTGTCTGAGGGGTGGCAATGCCGTGGGTGTTTCCTGGCGTCGCTCTTCGAAAGTCGTCCAGGGGCAAAGCCCCTGAAAAATATGACAATGGGCCGGCCGGTTACGAAGGCACAATCAATCAATTTTAGAGTCTACTAATGTAAAAAATACATATAAATATTTTTCTCCCCCACTAGTCGTAGTTCCTCTACCCCGGGAGCAGCTCTTTCCGACGGGGAACGCAGCTCCCCACTGGCGCCATCCCTGTACATCACGTGATTTGAGGAACAATAAACACTCTCACTGAAACCCTATGTTGAAACACACACTTGTAGAAAAAACAATACATATAATTTACTTTCCTCCCCCACGATTTGTGTTTCCCCCCCCCCCCAACCGGAGGGAAGCTCTCTCTTTCTTTATTTTGCTTCATTCTTGATGTAATTTACTTCCATTTCCCTTTTATGTCATTATGCTCGCAATACATTACTATAT